GATCTTGCCTGTCATATTAATCCCATCCCTGAATTTAGCTGCACTTGAAGATTGCAGACTTTAAAGGATTTATGACGCTTTATATTCATTTGCAAATATGAAACGGCAGGAAAGAAGGGTTTTTATAACCTTGTGAACAGGAGAAATAAGCCAAGATTGAAAGAGATCTAAAAAAGAAAAAAAAAACAGATAGGACGTATACCCTTCAGCATGCAAGGAACTGTCCTTGTTAGAAACTAACTTTGCATGCATAATTAATTTGAGCAGCACATTCCCTTTCTTACAACGAGAAGAGAAATTGAATTCAGGTGTTTGGTGAACATATGGGGGATTTACTGTGAATTTATGACCTGTAGTTTGAGTGTAAAACCCCAAGATACTAGCTGATAAAACTTAATGAAGCTTGTGCAGAAAAGCTATTTTTATTTGCAGTTTTGTAATTGATACATTTTCTTTTTTTTAACACCTCTCCCCCACCTTTTAATACCTTATTTACAATAAATTCTTTGGCACTTAAGTGGGGGAAAAGGAGTACAGAATAAACTTTCCTATACATCCTTCTATGTTGCAGTTGCAATTGTAGGTTTTTTCACAAACTTGAACCCTTAGTCAATTTTTTTTTTTCAGAAAGAATAGTAATTCTGTGATTATGCAGCAGCTCTTTATTATGCTTCCTGTGGTTGCTCTTTTTTGTGTACAATGCCTCTATGTGTTAATATCAGTGTGTTCATTAGAAAATTTGTTTCTGTGTGTCTCAGCACAGCACAGGGCAGACGGGAAGCAACAGGAGCAGCCAAGTTGGTTGCACTAGTTAAGTGTGAGGAGTGGTGCTTCTTGACCAAGCCATGCAGGAAGGTCCTGTGTTGTGCTCAGCTGGGTGTCAGCTTCAGCTACCGCGTTGCTGCAGGCATGAGAGCATCCCTGGGAGTAAAGGGACTGGCAGGAGGCTGCTCATCCTCCCTTCCTTCCAGCCTCTAGACACACGGAGCGGCGCCTCTTCATTTTTGAGATAATGCAAGCAATCTGTCCAAACAGACGGGAGCTTCTTTTATAAAAATGGGGTGATGTTTATGTGCTCGCTTGAAGTAAATAAGGTCCCATCTGTGTTTTATAGCTGCTATCCAGAGATCTAAGCAGCCAGTCAGAGCAGAGGCCCTGGCTGCTCAAATCGGTGTCAAAAGACTGTGAGGTGTAAAGCAGGCTGTTGGTATATGCGAACCTTTTGGTTATTCTGGTCGTGTTGCAACTGCCTGGTGATGCTGTTAGGACACTTTTCCATGCTGTTTCAGTCCAATTTATATATATATATATATATATATATATATATTTTTTTTTTTTTTTTTTCCAAAGCTTTAGCCATTCCTGCTCAGTAGCATGTTTGTATCCACTTTATCACACGGAAAATCTGTCTGTTTGGAAAGGATTACAGCTGTGCACCTCAGCGCGGGACAGCACAGCAAGCCATTGCTTAATGATCCGAGACCCTGACGGGCACTGCGGTGCCTGCTTCTTTCCRAACATGCGTGACAGCCCTGGCCTGGCAAAGCCTGGCTTACCGCTTCCCGTTTAGCCCAGGCTGGAGGCTGCATGTGTCATTAAGCAGCGCTCACTAAATAGCCACTGGTTAAATGTGCCAGCTTGGACGGCAGGCAGGSGAGAGCCAGACAGAGAAGGAAGCCCAAGTGCACTGCACACAACGCACTTGGGTCCTGAGAGCCTTTTCTTGATTTTAGTTCTCTTAAGAGCACTTAGTAATTAGGATACTGTGGAAGAAGAACATCTCTCACGTCTGGTGCTCAGAGGCGCTGATCATCTCCCACACGCTYGCAGCTGCCCGTTCTTTGAAGCAGGCAAAGGGAAAGGCTCGCAGCAGACCTGCCAGGGAGGCGAGCGGCGGTGCCCCTGCAAAGATGCACTGCACTTTGGCTGAAATGCTTAAAATTAACCTAAGTGAAGGCTTTGATAAATTTGGAGAGACTGCAAGATAACCTCCTTCATTCACATTGGTACTCCTGGACTCTTTGAGGTGAATTTATTTTTGGATTTTCAGGTAAATTGAGTTTTAAAAAAAAATGATGCAGTTAGCCCTATTTTCTTGGACTTGCATCATCTTTCTGCAAAATCCTTTCGTTAAAGAAAACTAAAGCACTGGCTTGTGAGGAAGATGGAAATGAGAGGAAGCAAACTTGAGCTATAGTCTAAAACACAATCTTTCTCCTCAAAGGCAGCCCAGCCCCTACCTTCCTTCATTTTCCCCTTTCCTCTCCTATACAAAATTGATTTAACCCCTTTTTAAATACAAAGCCCCACACTCCACCTCACTTTCTGCATCTCAAGGACTGTGTGAACACAAAGAAATTTGAATAGAATTTGTTTTTAATGCAGAAGTGCTTTTGTCTTTAATTTAGCCCTTTCTTTTCTGTGAAATAATTCTTTTTTAGAATTCACTTCTTTTGCAGTTTTCCTTAATTTAGGTCATGTCCTTTGCTTTTGGTATTAAATAGAAATATTGTTAAAAGGTTTATCTTCTCTGCCATTATCAAACATTTCAATAGCATTGAATATTTCGCTTAACTCAGCTTCACTATATTTTTTTTTTGCTAAGAATAAGATTTTTTTCTAAGAATAAAGCCTTCTTCTCAGGTCTGAGAATAAGTTAATTGTAAATCCTACGATTCTCCTCCTACGATTCTCCTCATCCTCATATTGCATTTGCGTATTCCCTGCTCTGGAGGAGATGTACATTTTAGTTGTATGCCAGCATGGACACTGTGTGTTTGCTTGCTGTTCCACCATTGGGGTAATTCCTGTTATTAATCATCTTTATAAGATGCGTAGAAGTTCTCAGCTCTAGAGTGCCTAGGTCTAGGCCTCRGTGCCTAGGCTTTAGTTCAGTTACTTTTGTTTTATACCTTCATTTTTCTTTACTGTTAAGTAATTTCTGCAGTGTYGCTTTTGTATTGTCATCTTTTAGTGTTAGAAATAAACTTGATTGAGGAGGACTGATGACTGRTTTACCCATCATCTAGAGTATATCAAAGTATGTCTGTTACTTTGCTAGTAATTTTGTACCAAAGTGTAACGGTATTTCTCTTTTAAACAGGTATTCTTACATCTAAGATACTAATACTTTAGGTATTTCAGTAAGTCTAAATGCAGTTTTATCTTTTAAAAAACACTTAAGTGTATGGAGTGTGTTAGATTATTCATTTGTTAGAATAACAATCCCAGTTTTAAATATCAAGCCACTTCAAAGTGTTTTGTCTGACATGGATTGGATTATGATGGTTACATTAAAAAAGTATGGTGTATAGCAAATCATGAGATAAAAAGGAAGTGCTTATATAATAAAGCTGGACAAATTTTGGACATATAGAATAAGTCTGTATAACACGAAACTGCAAAGGAAGATCAGCTGTTCAACAAAATTAAGCTGAATTAAAGAAATAGAATTAGCTGCACACCCGCAGTGAAAGGGGAAATTCTGGAAATGCCAAAATCATTCAATCATTTATTTCCACCTGCTCTAAATTATTCTTTATTTTTTACTTTTCAAAACAGCAATTTGCACATAGCAATTGACCTACACTACAAGTAAAGAATTTCTTGATGCTCCCATTTGCAAAAAAAAAAAAAAAAAAAAAAAAAAAGACAATCTGGAAAAAAAAAAACACTTCCTCAATGCCTTCTGTTTCTTTGCCTTTTGTTTCATGAGGGGAAAAAAGTCCATCTAAAAACATCTGTCTTCACTAGAAGACATATGCAAAATTTTTGGTTTGGCTCTCCTAGCCGTGACAGGCTCCATTGCATAGCACTGAAAAGAGTGGAAAGAAGTAACATATCTTAGAAATCTCTGGCCTCTAACCCATGCACCTACCAGGCTCAAAAGATGTGGAAAACAGTCACAAATGGACTCCAGAGCTGCCTTTTTGCATAGGGGAGAAGACGTGGGATATGAATTATTTGTATCTCACCATATCCCATGACCAGCAATATGAATCTATAGGCTTGTTTTCCACCGTCCCTCTGTAGATTGTTCTTTTGAAACTAAGTAATAGTTGGTCATTCCTTACCAACTCTTTTGAAATACACAATAAATACAGTGCTTAAGAAGGCCATAGGAAGAGATTAAAATGTTTCTGGTTAGTCTTGATACAACAGATTTGTTTTTCAGGCTTCCTGTGATTCCTATATTAATGTGTTTGAAATATGGTGGGGTTATGGGGGTCAGGTGGGAGCAGCACAGCTGGAAAAAATGGCAATGAGATTAATAAATATCCACTTTCTCTCTGCCCCATGAAACAAGCCATTCCTGTGCATATTTCATTCCCATAAACCTGGGCTATGGAGAGAGGATTACCTGTGATAGGCAATGTGGGAAAATTTATGGGTTTGAATAGTTCAAGATTCTGCATATGATTTTACATAATAACTCTAATGCTGAGAATTCTGCAAAAATACTGGCATTCTGGCCCACAAGCCTTTTAATGCTTTCAGACTGATCAGTATAAAAGACTTGTTAAAAACAGAACTAAGGGATGACAGGCGCTTATTGATTGGGGAAAATAATCAAATTTTATATAGGCAGGCTCTGCAGACATTGTAATGAATTTGAAGCGAATAAAGACCTGACAGTACTACCATTTATTGATTGGAAAGGAATATCTTTCATGTTTATTCAGTAGCAAAGACCATTTTGACTTTTCTTTTAATTTCCCTTTATGTTAAGTCTGACGCTAATGCATATATTGCTCTTCATGTCGAGAAGTAAAGCCTGCTGAAAAGATTCCAGTAACTTTTGGTGATTTTCAGAAATAGCCTCATTAGTCTTATCCATACRCTGTCTGAAGTTTCTTTAAAATAAGTCCAAACAGCATTAATCATAGTTACAAAACTGAAGGTCTTGGCATGAAATGCTTGGAAATTATTTCTGCGACGCGACAGTCGCAGATAGCAGTGCCACACCAAGCCCACTGATATTCCCATCCTCCCTCTTTTAGCAACAGATCGACTCCTAATAACCATGACCGGATACAGCGCCTGAGACAAGAATTTCAGCAAGCAAAACAAGACGAGGACGTGGAGGACAGGAGGCGGACGTACAGTTTTGAGCAGCCGTGGGTAAGTGCACAGAGTCTGCCAAATGGGCAAGCTTGCCCRACCTCCCACTTGCCCGGACCGGCCGCCACAACGTGGCGTAGACCCGGGTCTCGCTGCCTCCAAACTTCTCTTTTTTTTCCTTATCCACATTGCCCATTCCCTGTTGCTTTTTAGGCTTTTCAGCCATCTGGGCTCTGCATACGCAGCTTTACTTGCTCTGTGTTTAGGCCCTTGACTTTGAGCTGCTGCTGCTTCT